GATGGAGATATTAAAAACGGATATAGCAGGGCAAGTAGGGCTGAAAGATGGGTCGGGTTAAGTTAGGATAAACAAGTTGGGTCGGGTCGGATCCTAAGTGCTGACTCAGAATAAAAGGCTTATCCAGTTGGAAATTATTGCAGTAGAGATAAGAATGTACGTAAGATTTTATTCAAAAGTGGGCAAATTGTGGTGCGGCTGTAATTGTCATAATTAACAAATTACAATTTATAAAAAAAAAAACCAAAGGTACATGTGGTCTAGTGGTTGATTATTAAGAGTTGAGTAATATTTCGTTTAAATCTCAATTACAAAAATTCGAATTATTATAGATTAAAGAAAATTTTTCAAAAAATACCTTTCAAATGCCACTATACAAAAATATCACACTTTTGAAATCTTTACAAAAATGTCCTTTTTTAAATTTTTTTTTTTATATTATTTATGTTTGGGTTAATTATGTTTTATTAAGGTTTAGTTTCGAGTGTTGGGGGGGTTTTAGGTGTCAAAATATTTTTTAGAGTTTAAAATTTTAAGATATAGATTTTATAAATCTATAATTAGTGACATTTTTGTAAATGAACACCTCTAAACAGCATTCTTGCAAATATGCACACAAAAAATAGTATTTTTGAAATTGCTCCTAGATTAATTTAGATAATAAAATTTTGGAAAATTGACAAAAATAACACAAAAAAATGAAATTTGGAAAAATGGCTATTTTAACTTTTTAAATTTGAAAAATATCTCTTTTTTTAGTAGTTTTGAAAAATACACTTTATTGAATTTAAAATTACTAAAATATCCCATAAAATCTGAACAAAAATTATTTATTTTAAATAAAATTTAATTTGTTGTGATATATATAGCCTAAAGTTTAGTTGATCATATCTTTTACAAGATTTATTTTATATTTGATATGAGATTATAGAAAATTTTATATAACATTATCTAAAATTATAATTATACAAAAAAAATATTTATTATTAATTTACCATAAAATATTTTTCTAAACGCTCCTTTTTTTATTTTGCTTCCAAAACTTGATACTCCTCTTTATATAAGAGACGTAAAGTATTATTTTAAATAGTTTATAATGTAATAAAGGTTAAAAATAAATATCTTATATAACAAGAGAATTTTATTATATCTTTAATAGTAAATTTTAAATTTTAAAACAACAAAACAACTCGTGACAAAAAAAAAACAACTTTTTCAAATAAAAAGAAACTTAATATTAATATTATTTATATTTACAAATTAATTAATTGTTTAATCAATAACACAACTTTATCTCAAATATAAAGAAAAATAATATTAACAATAATTGTATTTACGAATTAATTAATTTAAAAAAATAACACAACTTTATCTCAATTAAAAATAGAATTAATAATAATTATTATTATATTTACAAATTAATTAGTTGTTAAATCAAATAAGGACAAAAGAGACTTTTCAATTGTTGAAAAAATTATTTTTTCAAAAACAAAAAAAACAAATTGTATTTTTCAAAAATCCAAAAAAAAATTATAATCTAAAAACTAACTAAATCCCCCAAATCCAATGGTCATAATTTTGTCACATACCCCTTTTTTACTTACTTTTTAATTATTATTTTTTTCGGTTATACAACAAAATGCCCCTAAAATTTATTGGAGGATTGTTTGTTTGTTTGTTGTAGTGCAACTTAATGCATGTAGTGGTCTAATGGTAAGTTAACATAAGAGATTTGGTTTTTTTTTAATGTGTCCATAATTTATAATTTTATTTAGTGTAGTTTTTTTTTTAAATCAAAATATCTAAATACTGATTTCGAGTTTCGAAGAGATTATGAACTAGAATTCAAAACTTTCATGGTTTATATCAACAAAAACAAATAAATTTAGTTCGTGGTATTTGTAGTCTATTGTGAACATAGCGCAAAGATAATAGTCTATTATAAATTTTATAGTAAATTATCTATTGTGGAATTTGTGAAGTTATTTACTGTATTTTTAAATATTGATTTGTTCCTTATAAATATTAGATCACCATTTATTATAATGAGAAATTTAAAAAAATGCTACTTTTTAAATGCCACTTTACAAAAATGCCACACTTTTGAATTCTTTATAAAAATGCCACTTTTTCAAA